CATTTCATGTAAGCTACTATTTTAGTAATCTTCAAGAAAGATAAAATTTTACATAAAATGGAAGCTTCATTGATGTGTACATAATTAATAAACATTTCAAAATAATACAGACCTGTTCCCTCCTCTTTGATTGTTCCTTCCACTTTTAATGACATGTCATATCCAGCTCGTTTCATTTGAAACCCTTCTGTTTTTATCACTTTTGTAAAACAACCTGCATTGTCTGCCTGAAGAGAGAGAAAGAAAATCTCTAATTTTACACAAGAGAGTCATCAAGCTAATGGTCATAGGAGAAAAAAAAATTCTTGTATTAGTCAAATGTCAAAATCATTGCTGCCAAGTCAGAACTGACTTCTGACTGAGTGCCTTTTCGGTTTTTGAAGCTGTAAATCACATGAGAGGAGATTGCCTATTTTTCTCCAAAGAACCACTGGTGGATTGGAACTGCCTGAGAAGTAAGGCCTTTGGGTTAGCAGTGTCCCTCCCTAAGGATGACATCACTGGAACTTCCTTTTTGGAACTATGCCTAATAATTGCATAAAATTTCTTTATTATCTGTGGATGTTCACCTTCAAGTTCTGCCTTCCACTCTTCTCATCGGAAAATATTCCCTAAGATTCCATATGAAATTTCCCAATGTTCCCAAAAATACCATGGCATTTTGTAATTCTACCTTCTTGCATACATTGTTCCTCAAACAATAGCATTGTTTCTCATTCTTACCATGCTCAACACTCAAAAGGAAACAAACAAAAGAAAGAAAGATCAAACCAGGTACTACAGGACTTACTTTCAGTGAGTCCCTCTATATCAGATTGGAACTTCGCTCATTTTTTGGAAGGAGATCACCAGGCCTTTCTTCCAAAATAAACTCAAATTTCCAACATTTTGGTAAGTAGCTAAGGAATTAGCTATACCAAGCCTAGGCCAATACTCACTGTTTTTCAAAACTCAACTCAGTATGTTTTATATTAAAAAAAAAAAAACAAAAAAAAAAACTCAACTCAGATTAACATCTTCTAAGAAGTTTTCCATAACCAACCACACACCTAAATATTGGTTCCAAACCCAACAAACTAAAGCTATTGCTGTGGAGTTAAATCTTACTCACAGAAACCTTCCATTGGTTCTGACACTTTAAATTTTCACAGGAGGATGTTTTGCTTATAGAGTGAGTAGTGAATTTGAGCTATAAGTTTTTTGGTTAGTATTATGTCAGGACCCTTAAATATTGGTTAGGGATTTTTTTGTTGTTGTTGTTCTTCTATGTTTGCACATTGTCCACAACAGTAATAACAACAAATTTATTTCCTAGTTAAACATTGTGCTGCTTGTTTTAATTTACCTTGTTTATTACTGCTTGTCTTGGTAGCCTCCTCAGCACCCTGGCTTCTTATTTATTTGTCCTCTGCTGCTTTAATAACTTTTTTCTCCATGTATTTACAGTCCTTGCTCACTTTTAAGGACTCATTTCTGAAACTATTAGTCTATGCATTGTATTTTTTATTATGCTATATTCTACTTTTGGCTATCTCCCTCAATTACTCTACCTATTAAAACCTCAAACCTCTTCTTTGGTATAATGTGGACCTCTTACTTTGTGCAGATGATACAACCTTGCTTGCAGAAAATGAAAAAGTCTTGAAGTATTTGGTGCAAGGTAAAAGACTATAGCCTTCAATATAGATTGCATTTCAACATCAAGAAAACAAAAATCCTCACAACTGGACCAATAAACAATGTCATGATAGATGGAGAAAAGACTGAAGTTGTCAAGGATTTCATTTTACTTGGATCTACACTAAAAATCCATAACAGTAACAGTCAAGAAATCAATAGCCTATAGACTGTCAAAAGAACAAAAAAATGTATCTTGCAGGGAATGCAAATAAGGTACTCCTTAAAGCCAGTGATCTTGAAACTCTACTTCATATACTACGTTGAGCATGTCAGTAGGGGCCAGTCCTTGAGGAAAAAAACCACCAAAAACATTATGCTGGGAAAGGTGGAGTGCCAGAGAAAGAAAGGAAGACCCTAAAAAAATTGGATCGACACAGTAATGGGCCCAAACATATTAGAGATTGAGGATGGTGCAGAACAGGGCAAGTTAGACTGTTGTTTGTAGATTGTTAAGAGTTGTAGTCTACTTGATGGCCCCTAAAGACAGCAATCTATTCCTTGTCTCTCTACACCTTCCTCTTCAGCTTACTGTTGGTTTAATATTCTTCCCTATGTACTTTAGATTCTCCTGCTAGCCAATTTAAGTACTCTTTTTCTGTTGCATAACAGTTAACTTCAGATAATTCCTTTGTATCTCTTTATACCTTGCATAGAGTCTTCACTACAAAAGATTACAAACATGGAAAAATCATGTCATTATAATTTACACTTTGGACCGTCAAACATAACCATGCTACTCTCATAATAAAAACAATAACCCTCACGTGGGTCCCTAATGTTCCCAAGTATTTTTACAGTGTTTCTCTTCACAGTTTTCTGCAGTGACTATTCATTATTGCACCCTAAGAGGAAAAAGATCTGGTATTTTTTCCCTGGAGAGAGTAACTTCCACTAACTTACCTCTTGGCTAAATTCATGGCAGATACCTGGCAAACTTGGGTCAGAACAGCTAGATTGGTATTGTTGAATATATTTTCTGCATATCTTCATTGTCACTAGACCAGAGACAGGCTTTCCATATGTGTATCTGTAACAGGAGAGCAGTTACACAAAATCAGATATTTAACATAAGAAACAAATATTTCTTCACCTTATTTGTTCCATTAATTGGGCCATCTATGATTTACTAGATAATTTGATTAATAAAATAATACATTTATCTAAAGAATTACATTAAGAGATATGTAGAAAGCACTTTTATAAGTCATCCCTAACTCATATATGTACTTCTAAAAAATTGAACATGATTTTTAATATATGTATTAGATATTCATATATGTATTTTAAGGAAATGAGTGAGAAGCTAGATAGGGAATCAGTAGCTAGAAATAAAACTATGTTATATGAACAATATCCTAATCAGCCTCATTTACCAAACATGATGGAAGAAAATATGCAAAAGTTGAACTTAGTCTTAGAATTCGTTCTTAGAGGGAAAAAAGATAGGATTGTTTTGTTTCATTTAATTCTAAATTTTTAAATGGGACAACTAAAGAGAAATTATATGAAGTATATGTTGTTGTTGTTGTGGTTGATATGTGCTATTAAGTCATCTGCAACTTAACAATGACCCCATGTACAAGAGTTCTGAGCCCTGCCCTATCCTGGGCCAGTCTCACTCTCTTCAACACTCTTACCACCATTACCCCAGTTACTGTGTCAATCCATCTCATCTGGGGTTTTCTTTTCCTGAGTTATCCTTCTACACTTTCAAGCATGATGTCCTCCTCCTTTTAGGAGAAGGACATCAAGAAATATATAGTGGGGGTACAAATTACTGAATCTGTCATCAAAATTATGTTTTAAATCTCTGGATGTGGGCCTAGGTAATTTACACATCTGTGAAGCACTCCAGTAGATTCTTATGACTCTTCTCGTTTGAATCCTACTGCCTTAGTACCAGTTGTGAAGTCAATGAGTAGAGAAATAGAAATGAGATTTTATTTATTTTTTTTTAATTCAACTTACAGGCCACAGACAGATACTGGAAATTCTTTCTCTGTAAAACCAATTCTCTTGGGAATTTTCACTTGGACTTCAAATTTGGGCAAAACTGTTTTGATTAGAAGAGAAAAAGAAGTGAGAATGGGATCTTCCAAGTGGCAGTAATGGATTATATTGTAGAATCTTGCAACATGGGATCTTATAACATGAAACGATTGTAAATATATCAAAACCACTACTGACAAAGCCTTATTATTTCCTCATTCATCATTTCCTTTGATTTAGAACTGACGCATAGCGGTCCGTCTAGCAAGTTTAAGGCAAATGCCATTGTTTACTATGGAAGTTTATGTTAACTTATTTTAGGTGGTTCAGAGGGGAGCTCTGGTGGCTTAATGTAACAAGTTGTGCTGCCAACCCAAAGGCATAGGGTTTGAATCTACCAGTTCCTCTGCAAGAGAAAGATGGGCAATCTTCTCCCAAGCAGTTTACTGCCTCTAAAAACCTGGTGGAGGTACAGGTGTGAGTCAGTTCTGATTTGATGGTACTAAACAATAACAAAACCAACAATAACATTTTCAGAATCTCCTTCTAGAAATTGCTGCATAGTTTGAATAAGGAGTCGTGGTGCCTAGTCAAAGACTGTTCAAACCCACCAGCTGCTTCATGGGAAAAAATGAGCAATCTTCCTTCTCCACTGTGATTTACAGCTTCTGAAGCATGTTGGAGGACCAGCTCTGAGACAATTACAACTCAACAACAATGAGGTTTTTATAATGGAAGATGAAAGGAGGCAGTAATTAATCTGTTAAGATCAGCATAGATGAAGTAACAGATGTAGATGAACCCAGAGACTCCAGTATGTCCTTTCCTTTTCTGTGTCCAGCTCTCCCCTTACCCCCCCCTTTTAAACCATCCTTACCCCTACTCACTAATAGAGTTACACATCTACCACCATGCACTTGGCTTTGGAACTACTGAAATGGTAGCTGTACAGAAGTAACAGTATTTCATGGATTCTTCCATTAATTCTCCCTTGTGGTCCACCTTGGCAGTGAAAGTTTTAGCTTCTCCAAACCCCGATATACTTTGAGAGCTTATATTCATTATTATCAATGCCTTTAGGAAGGCTTAGCGGTAAAGATTTGTGCTGGTAACCAAAGAAGCATGATTCAAGTCTAGCTGCTCCATGAAAGAAGGAAGGTTATGTGATTTATTGTCTCTGAAAACCTGCTGGAGGTCAGCTGTGGGTTCTTTTCTACATGATGGTATATAACAACAACATCAATGATTTAGAGTTCCTTGGTGGTGCAAAATGATTAACATGCTTAGATGCAAAACAGATGATTAAAAGTTTGAGTCCAGCATTGTCCAATGGTAATTAATTTTACAGAACATGATGAATGAGTTTCACAATATTCTTCATTCATATTGTGTTTTATATAATCATTCCGATGTATTTTGTTTTATAAAATCAATCACCATGGACCTTGATCATCATTACTCAATCTATTCAGGTATCTTCCAGATCCTTCCCATTTCTTTTATTCCCTCTTTCCACGTACCAAACTGTGCAACTCTGGTTTCACTCCTACCCATCCTCACTCCTCTGCTCTCACCCTTTCTCCCCTTTCTTCCCCAACATATTTTACTAGTTGTTGTTCTATTTTTACAATGATGGTTTTATACAATATTTGTCCTTATGAGACTGAGTTAGTTCACTGAGCATAATGCTCTCTAGACTCTCCAAACTTATGAAGTATATTTTGAAATCATTGATCCTCAGTGTTGAAAAGTATTCCAATGTGTACAAACTGTGTGAGCAAACCAATATAAAAAAAATGAAAGTGTTTTGGTAACTAGCAGGAGAGTATAAATAAAATATATCCTTAAAAAGAGAGAAAAAAAATCCCTAAACAAACATATTGCATGTGAATGATTGTATGAAACACAATGTGAGTGAAGAAACTGTGAAACATAATGTATGCAGACTTTGTAAGCAAAAAAATATTAAATAAAATATAAAAAATTTGAGTCCATCAAAAAGTACTTTTGATCAAATATTTAGGGATCTAATTTGTAAAAGCTAAAGAAAGAAACCAAAATATCAAAGAGCTGAACAGAAAATTTCAAAAGTCAGCTCAGGACGACAAAGCAAGATACTATAATGAGATGTGCAGAGAGCTAGAGTTAAAAAACCAAAAGGACCAAACTCACTCAGCGTTTCTTAAGCTGAAGGAGTTGGAAAAAAAAGTCAAGCCATGGTTGGCAATACTTAAGGATACTTTGGGTAGAACGTTAAATGATCCAGGAAGCATTAAAAGAATATGGAAAGAGTATACAGAATCAATGTATCAGAAGGAATTGGCTGACATCAAAGAATATAATGAAATAATATATGAGAAAGAGCCTGTGGTGATGAAAGAGGAAGTTCAAGATGCTCTGAAGGAACTGGCAAAAAATAAGGGTCCAGGAGTTGACAGCATACCAATTGACATATTTCAAAAAACAGCTGTTGCCCTGGATGTGCTCACTAAGTTGTGCCAATAAATCTTGAGTACAGCCAGCTGGCCAACTGACTGGAGAAGATTGATATTTGTTCCCATTCCAATGAAAGTGACTCAATATAGTGCTGAAATTATTAAACAATATCATTAGTAGCACATGCAAGCAAGATTCTGCTGAAAATTATCCAAAAACTATTGGAGCAATATGTCATCAGAGAACTGCCAGATGTGCAGGCTGAGTTTAGAAGAGGTTGTGGTATTAGGGATATTATAATGTTAGATGGATCTTGGTAGAAAGCAGAGAATACTGTAGGAATGTTTATCTGTGCTTCATTGACTATGCAAAGGCTTTTGATTGTGTGTATAACAACAAGCTACGTCTGACTCTGAGAAGAATGGGAATCCAAGACATTTGATTGTGCTAAAGCAAAACCTATACTTGGACCAAGAGGCAGTTGTCAGAACAGAGCAAGGAGACACTACACGGTGCAAAATCAAGAAGGGGTCTGTCAGGGATGTATTTTTTCTCCATACCTTTTTAATATGCATGCAGAACAGATCATCTGAGATGCTGGGCTGTATGAGAAGTAATGTGGCATCAAGATTGGTAGAAGAGTCAACACCCTGTGTTATGCAGATGACACAACCCTGCTTGTTGAAACTGAAGAGGACCTAAACCGCTTGCTGCAGAAGGTCAAGGATTATAGCCTCCTATATGGATTGAAGCTCAAAATCAAGCAGACAAAGATTCTCATTTCTGGGCCAATTGGCAGCATCAGTATGGGTGGTGAAGAGATTGAGATAGTTAACAGTTTTAGTTTGCTTGGCTTCACAGTCAATACTCTTGGTAACAGCAGCCAAGATACCAAGAGACAAATTGCATGGGGAAAGTCAGCTGTGAGTGACCTCTCAAGATTACTGAAGAGCAACTACATCAGGCTGGAGACTAAGGTGTCCCTGATCCATACCATAGTCTTTGCAATTACATGCTATACATCAGAAAGTTGGACAATGAATAGGGTTGTTTTAAAGAGAATCGATGCCTTTGAGCTGTGGTGCTGGAGAATAGTGTTGAATATACCATGAATGCTAGGAGAACAAACAGATTTGTCCTGGAGAAGGTGAAGTCGGAATGCTCCTTGGAGTCAAGGATTCTGAAGCTTCGTTTGACATACTATGGGCATGTTGCAAGGAGGGACTGGTCCTTGGAGAGGGACATCATGTTTGGGAGAGTTGAGGGATGGCACAGGAGAAGAAGACCCTCCATGAGATGACTGATTCTGTGATTGGGGTGGTGGGAATGAGTGTGTCGAAGATGAAGAGGTTAGCATAGGATAGAGCAGTGTTTATGGCTCTTGTACATAGGATCTTTCTGAGTTTCAAGCGACTTGACAGCACCTAACAACAACAACAATTCATTAAAGTCTTTCAAAACATTATACAGTACAGTATTTCTATTCACTTCAGATAGACATGAGATTTCAACACATTTGACCCCACTAAATAGCAATTGTTTTGGTTGACCAAAGGTATAGGTGTAAATTTTATTTGTCAACACTCTGTGCTTGACATTTACTTTTCTAGTTCTCCCACAATTGTGTAAAATGCTATTTCTATTCAAAGTTCTTATTTCATCATTTTCATGGTAATTTCTGTGAGTTTGAGGAATCATCCTTTTGTAGCAGGAGTACTTAATTATAGTATGAAATATTTAATTATCTTAGAAATGTTAAACAAGTAATTAGATGATTCCAATACAAGTGATCATTGCAATTAATGTTAGTATGTATTATAGACAGGTATAATGTCACCTCAGGAATAACATTGTCATAGATCAGCAGCACACGCCAATCACATGCTGCTGTTGTTGTTGTTGTTGTTATGTGCCATCGAGTCACTTGCGACTCAAAGCGATCCTATGTACAACAGCTCTAAACTCTCTTCTGTCTTGTGCCAATCTCACCGTCTCTGACACCCATCCTGATTACACACTTAGTTGTTTGCATCCAAACTCTATTCCTAGAAGAAGAAAGTGTTGTTCCAACACAATAAGGAAATATTGTATGGTTTAAAATGAGGAAGGATGTGCATCAGGGTTGTATCCTTTATCCATACCTATTCATCCTGTATGTTGAGCAAATGATTAATGGAGCCAGACTCTATGAAAAAGAATGTGGCATCAGAATTGGAGGAAGGCTCATCAACAACTTGTGTTATGCAGATGACACAACCTCCCTTGCTGAAAGTGTGGAGGACATGAAGCATTTGTTGGAGAAGATCAAAACTACAGCCTTTAATATGGATTATATCTCAACATCAAGAAAACAAAAATCCCTATGATTTATCATAGGGTCACGTAATGATGGGGGGAGAGAGGGTTGGATAAAGGGAATGGGGATAATCTGGTGTGAAGACAATGTATACAAACTTTGTAAGTAAACCAGTATATAATAAAAATTTTATTTAAAAATCTCCAGAAAACAGAAGTCCTTTCTAGTGGGCCAATAGGTAACATCATGCTAGATGTAGAAAAGATTCAAACTGGCAATGATTTCATGTTACTTGGATCTGCAGTCAACACCCTCAGTATAGCAGTCAGGAAATAAGGAGATATTTTGCTTAGGTAAAAGCCACTGTCAAGGACTCTTCACAATACTGAAGAAGATGATACCAGTTTGAAGACTAAGATGCACCTGGTTTCACCATCATCTTTTCAATCTACTACATGCCTTAGAGTTAGGTAACAAATAAGGATTACAGAAGAATTGATACTTTAGAATTGTGGTGTTGGAGGAGAGTACAGAATATTCCATATCCTTCCAAAAGAATGAACAGGTATGCCTTGGAAGAGGTGTAGCCAGAGTCCTTGGAGGCAAGAGGGCAAAACTTTGTCTTTCATACTTTGGACATGTTGCTAGAAAAGGTTATTCATTGGAAAGGGATATCATGCTTGAGAAATAAGCCAAAGAGAGGAAGCCCCTAATGAGATGGATTGGCACAGTGACTGCCACTATGGTCTCAATGGTATCAGAGACAGTGAGGATGGCACAGGATTCAGATTTATGGTTCATATGACTTGTACACAAGTTGATGACCCTTAGCAACAATGGCTGTCCCATAGGACTGTAGTAAGAAGTGAAAATGCATGAAAAGTATGTAGTAAATATCCACGGAAATAAAAAAGTTTATTTATTTTAACTATTAAATATACTTTTCTGACCACTTATATGGACAAACTATAAACTCTTAATCACTCTGATGTCACACATTTCTTGTACGTGCAGAAATCTTACCATATTCTTCTACCTCGAAGGAATGCTTTATCGTTTCATTTGACTCCTTCTGCAGGATGATGTTGTAGGAACCCAGAATGGGCTCCGTTGAGAGTAAGAAAGAGAGCTGGCCGAGTCCCTTTTGCAGTGTGAAATTTTGCCATTGGAAAATTCTGTTTTTCTTGGGATTCTATAGAAAAAATATTATGAATTCATACAAGTAATTGAAATACATATTGTCATGTAAAGGGGAGATTTTAAAGTAAGATTGACCTTAGTTTTTACATAATAGATTGTCGGTAAATTGTATCAAAAAGGTCTTAGCAAAGTTTCCTAGGAACTTTTTACTGAGAATAGTGTAAGACACAAATATAAGATATAAGAGACAATAATTCACAGTGCTTAATGTTTTTTAAATGACACTTAGAAATTTTGGTCAGAAATACTCAAAAGTAACCAGATCATATATTTTTTGGGGGGGAGGGGAGATTATGTTCCTTCATTTAGGTCTTACTTATTTTTGCAAAAGGACATAACCAGGAAAATAAAGTATTTTTTAGTTTCAGTAAAATGATATGGGATGGACAGGGGACAGACAATTTAACATACCTTGCAAGTTCTCATTCCAGTTTTAATACCTAGTACCTACCTCAATATAAACCACAGGGAACTGGAAAGAAAGAAAGAAGATTTGTGAGATATGATTTAGAAGTATTTTTTGTCACCAGCAATAACACTGACAATAACATCTAGAGCATATAAAGTGATCTTTTTCTTTCTTTCTTTAAACAAAGAAATGTCCTGTTTGGTTCACAGTAATTGTATAATTTATTTTTATGGTACAAGGTATAATTTCTGAAACATAATTAGGTTAAGAGGTCCAAATAATTTTAGTTTGCAGATGATAGTTTATCTGACCGAAATTTAACACATTTTTCTTTTATTTTGTTTAAGAAAAAGGACTAGGATCTTCCAGTGGATTAATTATACTTGTAGCACCTTCAACTGAATATTTCATTTAAGAACGTAGTTGATAAATTTTCTGAATCATGCCTTCCCTTATTCCTTTGGCATTGGTCTCAAATTTTTCAAAAGAATAGAATTTAAACATTTGACCATTTCCTCTAACTTTAATCATTGTCACAAAACTTACTGTTTCGTCCACAGGGTAAAAATTGACATTCACAGCGACGATGCGGAATCTCACTGAAACAGAGATTTTTTTTTTCTCATGAGACCCTTCATTAGGATTGCAGAGAACTAACAGAGATAACATCATGTCAGGATTTCAGTGACTATAGGACAATTAATAAAGAATACAGAAGAGGAATTGGTGTCTGTGAATCACAATGAAGGTGAAGAGTACCGAACAAGAAAGTTCCTTTTGGAAGATTTGCAGTCCAGATGTTCTATAGAGGCAAGGATGGTGAGTGTTCACACACTTTGAGCATATTATCAAGAGAGGCTAGTCCTTGGAAAAAGGCATCAATCTTGGAGAAGAAAGGGGTCATTAAAGAAGAGGAAACCCTTCAATGGTATTGACTGACACAGTGAAGAGAATAGTAGGTGAATATACTAATAATAGAATGGTGAATAGAATAGATACAGAGGATGATGAAGGTTTGGCAAAGTTTCATTCTATTGTACATCGTGTCACTGTGAGTTGAAGTTGATTTAATAGTACCTAACAACAACAAATGTAAAACAATCCAGTGTGAGATTCCACTCCGCCCCCATTAAAGTTGCTTTTTGTTCATTAGATGTTTATACCTGATTGTCCAGGTTTGTAGATGGGTTTGTCTGTCTGAATAAAGACCAGACTCTTTGGTTTTTTTATGTAGATTTGCTTTTTTTTTGTGAACACTTGAGTTGATCCAGTCACATGCGCAGTAATAAATGCAATGAAAGATGGTAGTTCTGGAATCTATAAAATAAATTTGAAAGTAAAAGTATTATTTCAATAAAATAAGCTAGTTTCTCATTCCATCCATGTTGTTTTTAGGTGTCATTAAATCAAGTATAACCCATAGCAATCTTTTTTTTAAATGCCAAGATAAGAATCAATTTATTATAGAGATAAGAGAAGTTTCTCATCCAAGATCTAGACACCTGTACAAATTTGCCACAATCAATATACATGAACTGTACAAATTTACACCAGTTCATAAATTACCAAATAAAAGAAGACTAACAAAGTTCACAAAATAAATGGTGGTTTGTGGAAAGGACTTTTACCCAATTAAGTACAAGGAAAGTTACAAACCAGACCTCCACTTTAATAAGAAGTTTAATAAGAAGTTTACTCAGTTTTATAAAAGTACATGCTAACAAATGTACAGAGAGCTCGCTGTGCAAACACTACGATTAAGACAGTGCCTTTTTAAAGCCTGTTGCCAGGGCAGATTATGGTTACTTGCTCCTCTCAAGGCCAAATACACAATACAAGGTCTGACCATTTCCCCAAGTCATGCTTAGTAGTTTGTTTTATGTACATTTATGCATATTTAAGTGCTAAGCAAATGTCTTGTCATAAAATTTCCAGTATTACCATGTTTAAAACATTGATCTTGCCTACTGAGCTGCCAAAGAGGTTAACAATTTTCAAGTGTAATAGTGTAAATTTCCCCTGTAGGATCTACTGCAGAGAAAGGGTCTTTGAAATACAGATTTGCGTCAAAGGGACTTTTGTAAAAAGTACAGATAATGCCTGGGAGAAACTGAAACCACTTAAGGACTTCACTCTCGAGCAAATAAAGTGTTTGTTTACGTGGTCTCACAGGCAATTAAGTCATATTGATAGCTACTGTCTAAACTATGGCACTTTCACTTTTTAAACCACTTTATCTTGTCCCAGATCTTCACAGCTGTTTCATGGTTTAAATTCCATAATCCATCCACAAGAGGAGCCCACTCACAGCAAAAAATCGAATTTATCCATCCATTAAAAGAGGATCCAGCCACAGACTATATCTTCCCCTGATACAATAATCATATTGCAGTTTTTGAAAGGGCTTGTTCTGTCCATGAGAACTTATCTCTACAGCTGATCCTGCTGTCTATCATTTGAGCATTGGTGCTGTTTTGAGTGCTACATCCTGCCAGTGAGGAAGAGGCTAGCCATAGCAGCTTGGTCACATCACTCAGCCAGTCCTTGGTACATTCAATACTCTTCTCCAGCACCACAGCTCAAAGGCGTCAGTTCTCCTTCTGTCCTCCCTAGTCATTGTCCAGCTCTCTGATGCATAACAAGTGATTGCAAAGACCATGGCCTGTATCAGGCGTACCTTCGTCTCCAAAGAGACACCGTTGCTCTTGAGTACTTTAGAGAGGTCCCTAACAGCAGACTTTCCCATCACAATACGTTTTTTGATTTCCTGGCTGCTGGTGCCAAGAGTGTTGACTGTGGAACCAAGCAAACTGAAGCTGTGAACAATCTCAATCTCTTCACCATCCATCCTGATGCTACCAATTGGTCCAGTGGTGAGAATCTTTGTCTTCTTGACATTGAGCCTCAGTCCATACTGAAGGCTGCAGTCCTTGACCCTCTGCAGTAAGTGCATGAGGTCCTCCTCAGTTTTAGTGAGCAAGGTTGTGTCATCTGCATAATGCAGATTGTTGATAGGTCTTCCACCAATCCTAACACCATGTGTCTCCTCATAGAGCCCAGCCTCTCGGATAATCTGCTCTGCATACAGGTTGAAAAGGTATGGAGATAGGACACATCCCTGATGCACACCTTTCCCAATTTTGAACCATTCATTGTTGTCCTGGTATATTAAATATTATTTGCCAGCACTGTAATCCAAAGCAGTTATATTTTGTTCTTTTTTGATTGTCCAGGTTTTGCATGTTATTGTTGTTATGTGCTGCCTAGTCCTTTGTGACTCCTAGCAACCTCTGAAGCCTGCTCTGTCCTGAGCCAGTCTCACTGACTCTGACACACCTAACCCCATTGCCCTAGTTACTGCATCAATCCATCTCCTCTGAAATCTTCTTTCCTGTGCTGTCCCTCCACCCTTGTCAGCATAATGTCCTTCTCCAAGCATCGGTCCCTCTTGGTCATATGCCCAAAATATATGAGATGGACCTTCAGAATCCTAGCTTCCAAGGAGAAACATGGTTTCACCCTTTCCAACACAGATCTATTTGTTTTCTCAGCAGTCCATGGTATGTTCAATACCCTTCTCCAGCATGACAACTCAAAGGCATAAATTCTTCTGTCTTTCTTAGTCACTGTCCAACACCCTGATGCATAGCAAGTAATTGTGAAGATCATGGCCTGGATTAGGTGCACCTTAGTCCCCTGACTTACACTGTTGCGTCTCAGTACTCTGGAGAGGTCACTGACAGTAGATTTACCTAAAGCAATTTATCTTTTTATTTCCTTACTGCTGGTGCCAATAGTGTTGATTGTGGAGCCAAGCAAGCTGTAAATATAATAACCTCAATCACATTTCCAGCCATCATAGTGCTGCCAATTGGACAGTGGGGAGAATCTTTGTGTTTTTGATGTTGAGCTTCAACCCATATTGAAGGCTGCAGTCCTTGATCTTCTGCAGCAAGCACTTCAGGTCCTGCTCAGTTTCAGTGAGCAAGGTTGTGCCATCTTCATGTCATAGGTTGCTGATGAATCTTCCTTCAACCATAATGCCACATTCTTCGTCATAAAGCCCAGCCTCCTAAACAATCCTTTCTGCATATATATTGAAAACATATGAAGACAGGGTGCATCCCGATGCACTCCTTTCCTGATTTTGATCCATGCAGTGTTTCCCTGCTTTGTTCTGAGGACTGCTTCCTGGTCCAAGTGTAGGTTTCACATACAACAATAAAATGTTCTGAATTCCCATTCTCCTCCAGGTTAGCCACAATTTGTTGCGATCCACACAGTCAGTCAAATGCCTTTGCATAGTCAATGAGACACAGATAGACATTCCCCTGTCACTATTTGCTTTCTGCCAGGATCTATCTGACACTGGCAATATTGTCTCTCGTGGCATGACATCTTCTAAACCCAGTTTGTCCTGCTGGTAATTCTCTGTCCATGGAGTGTTCCAGTTGTTTCTGGTTAACCTTCGGCAGGATTTTGCTTGCATGTGATATGAGTGATATTGTACAATAATTTTCACACTCTGTTGGCTCACCTTTTTTTGAGTGGGAAAAATTATGGATCTCTTCCAGTCAGTTGTCCAGGTAGTTGTCCTTCAGATTTCATGGCATAACCTGGTGAGCATGTCCAGTGCAACAAATATGTCTGTTGGTATTCCATCAATTCCTGGGATTTTATTTCTTGCCAAGTCCTTCAGAGCAGCCTGAACTTCCTACTTCATCATCAATGCATCTTGATAATATGTTGTTTCATGAAATTTTTCTGTGTCAGCCAATTCTTTTTTATAGTTATTCTGTATACCCATATCATCATCATCATCATCATCATCATTATTTTTAATGAATAATTTAATTAGTCTTGTCAAGTGTATATAACTGTGATCTATCTATCATTACTGATAATAGACTAGTATGATTAACTAAACATTTAATACTATGTTGCTTTTGTTGAGTACCGTCAAGCCAGAATCAACCCATACCTGACCCTGCAGTGGGTATTCAGAGGCAGTTAATTGCACAGAAGGATACTGCCCACTTTTCTCCCAAAGAGCAGTTGGTTTATTAGAATCTAATGCCTTTGAGAGTATGGTACAATTTCTTACTATAGGCCACCAGAGCTCTGGGTATTTAATACTGTAAGTAATAAAATATTATAGGGACAATACATTATATCTCATCTGTGATATCTTACAAAGTCAACACAGTAAACTTAATATAGCTCAATGTTTCCAGGTGTAGAAGAGGAGTAATGGAGTACATCCATATTGATTGTGGCTTTGTTCGCAATAGCAAAGAGCTGGTAACAACCCAAGTGCCTATCAACAAATGAGTGGATAGAGATACTGTGGTATATTTACACAATGGAATACTATGCAGCATTGAAAAGCTAGGAACTCATGAAATATTATGCAAAATGGATGATCCTGGAGAACATTATTCTCAGTATAGTATTTCAGTCACAAAAGGACAAATATAGCATAGGGGTACTCTTGTAAAACAGGACTGACATCGGGGTTGAGGGGAAGACAAAGAAGGAGAGGAGGAATGATGGATACTGTATTGAAACATATGAGGGAGATATCTGTTTAAAAGGGATATATGATTGAGTATTAATGTTGTGAGCCCAAAAGGAAGGCTGTACAGTAGAGTGGACTTGGGGGAAGAAATTGTGTAACAATGAAAAGGTTTCTCTTTTACATTTCAAGGAGAAGAGTGAATTGGGAGGGCTGGACAGGGAGTGGGCTGGGATAAAAGTACAACAATGAATGACGGGAATCCTAAGTCTCTGTAAACTTTCATTTAAATGAATTAAAAAAAAAGAAGGATAAAAACCACAAAAACCCAGAAGTGCTGCCTTTCCTATCAGAGGGTCCATTTTATGGTTGATGTGAATACAACCAAGGTAACCTGATCCTTTGCAAAGCTTCTCTGGGAGTCAGTGATGTTAATAATGTTCTGCCATTAGTTCCTGTAGGGTTTCGTTCAAGGTCTGCAGCTGTAGCTCGCTTTGTGAGCCCCTTGAACCCTAATCTCTGTAAACTTTCATTAAAATTAATTAAAAAAAGAATTAAAATAAACAAACAAACAAAAAATCCCAGCAGTAATGACACAAACATTATTTACTCAGAAAATCAAACAAAACTCTTCCTATAAAGAAAGCTATCTTCCATGTATTGTGCTAGATTTGTTTGTAAATACTATATGAACATATTCAGAATTTTATTCTTAATTTAATTTAAAATTACTCTAAAATCCTCATTTTCTTGTCAATTTTTTTTCTTCTGTGCATCAACAATATACTGTCATTCTCTATTAATCTCCATTGTTCAAAAGAATGATACTCACAGCAAAGGAGCTGCAAAAGAAGGCACCTTTCTCTGTCACCTGTTTCCAGAGGAGGTTCCAGTTTTGCATTCCCAATTCCAGAGTTATGTTCACTGTCACTGGCTCATTCAGGTAACTAAGTAAAACACAAACCTTCTCAGACTCATTGGTATAGATGGCTGCTGGAACCAGTACCATGAATTGCCTGAGGAGAAGACAAGTCTGAATCAGTCATAAATGATGATGAAAGAATGTTATGGTTATTTTCTAGACATCATTTTTCTTGTCACCAAGCATAAAGGACATTTAAAATCAAGAGATAAATTTCAGCAGCAATGTAGAAACTTATTTTATTCAAAGTCAACTAACAAGACCTCAGGACCTAAAGACCCCCAGAAAGGAAATATCCATACACTTTTTCATAAGTTGTGTAGTCATCTTCATAATACTAGAAAGATTATTCACTGCCCTGAGTCTTTGGGTTACGGTGTATTTTAGACATTATCTTCAAATTCTGTATAGCAACAACCGAATAGAAAGAATTGTCACTGAAAGAAATAAGAATCTGCATGACCTCAGATTATATCATGAAACCCTTTGGTCCAGGAAGCATTAGATAGATAATCTTTAATATGTGAGGCAGTTTAGTTGTTTTAGTTGTTTCAGAAGCAAGCTTATCTTTTTTTCTTCTTCACCCCTCAAGTCAAGTTAAGGGGAGTTGGTTTCATCACAAGACCTGCCATGTAAATCCAGAAATAATACAACAAAGGGTTTTAACATTTTCATTCTCTATATCATTATGTTGTTGATTTCAGCTCATAGGTTTCTAAAGTTATGTGTCTTTACAGGAGCAAATTGTCACATTGTTCTCTTCTGTGGTGCAAGTTGATTCCAACTGGTGAACTTTTATTTAAGAAGGGTGCAACAATGAATGAATGGAATCCCAAAATCTCTGTAGATGTTCATTGAAATGAAAAATAAACAACCTAAATTAAATAAGAAAAAAGAAAGTTGTCTTTACACTGCACCAACTGGATTTTTGCATCTAACTTTCTGTCATCCAAAGAGAACATATATGAAGTTCTATTCTGACACCCACAAAACCACCATGAATCAGAATCAACTTGATAGCAAATGGCTTTGAATTTCTTTCAACATGGGAATTAACAATTTACAGACTATCCTACACACTTTGTTGTAAGTAGCGGTTGTTCTTGTTGTGTATGTTGAGACAGAACCGACCCATAGCTGACCTTCTGGTGGATTTTCAGAGGCAATTAATTGCATCGAAGAAGATTACCCATCTTTTTCTCTCAGAGCAGCTGGTGGATTCAAACCATTGGAATAACAACACAATCTCTTACCATTTCACCACTAGAACCTAGTGGTAAGTGTACTGACTATCCCATGGACTGCCTACACCCTTTAGATGACAGGTAATTTCAAAGGAAATAAAAGATCAGTGATCAAGAAGCAGATAATAAGAGAAATGACATAATAAAATTTTTTTGAAATATTGCTTACGGTTTTGCAGTATCTGTGGCATCTATGGGAAGGAGCAGGAAAAGCAGGATTAAGACTGGACCAAAGAGTTGATTTCCTCTCATGATGTGGAGAGAAATAGAGAAAAAAGGTAAAAATGTGTGCCCTTTATTCCTGAACTCTGTTCTTGCGCCAAATGCACTAGTTTTTATTTTACCTGATGGGCAGTGAAAGTAAACTGACAGCTGATTATTTTTGTAACATATTAACCAATTCCAGTAGTAAAATATCAATTCCAGATAATTTTCATGACCATCAGAAGCCTTCCATCCATTTTATCAAGTTTTCTCAATGCTTGAACATTGAGTTTTTAAGACTACCATTGTCTAGGATTATTAATTGGAAATTTATAAATATTTTAAATAATGATTTGGGAAAGTCCCTCAGTATTCTTAGATTTATTTTTTTTAAGGCCTACTGCTTAACAGCACGTAACAACAGCAACAATAGAATTACAATGGAGCTCTGGTGGTCAATGGTAAAGAACTGTCAAACCGATGGTATATGGTTCAAATCCACCAGTTTCTCCACAGGAGAAAGATAAACAATCTCCTCCCCTGTGATTTATGTCCTCTGAAATCCCACTGGAAGGTCAGCTTTAACCTAGTTTCCACTCAGGAGTATGTAACAATAGAAAGGCGATATATACAAGATCTCTTCTTGGTAGTCTCAAGAATAGCACATATATTCACCTGGTATCATCTTAAATAAATGGCTCTTTAATGAAATAAGATTATGAAATTTACCACAGAATATAAATAAGTGCTTAAAATGTCCTCATTGAATAGGAGAATGATTTTTGTTGTTTATAGCTGTGTTTTTATTTATTCAAAAGAAAATTATTATTTATTTGGGTATAACAACCCAGATAATATGTAATTACCATTTTTTTAGCATTTAGGTTTTAGAATACAAAGATAGACCCTGAAGAAGATTGGCACAGTGATTTGGTGACACATTAGACTTGATGACAGAAATGAAGCTTGAAGCAGAATGATCAAATTGTTCATGTTCAATGATTTATTTACTGCAAATACTTTTGAAAAAACCTCATGTTGACTTTATACAGGGATCTTAGCTGACAGACTGAGTAAGAATCAGATTGACTACATCTGTGGAAGGAATCGGTGAAGAAGCTAAATATCAATAGTTAAAATTATGCTAGGTACTGACTGTGGAATAGAACATCAGTTACTCATATGCAAGTTCAAGTTGAGGCTGAAGAATATGAAAACAAGTCCAAAATATGACCTTGAGTCTATCCTACTAGAATTTGAAAATTATTATTAGAACAGATTTGAAGTTTTAAATATTAGTGATAAAAGACCAGATGAGGTGTTGGATGACATGAAGGATATTATTCATGAAGAGAGCAAAAGGACTTTCCAAATACAGAGCACAAAAAAAGTACCAAAATAGTTGTCAGAACAGACTCTGAAAGTTGCACTGTCGAGAAGCCAAAACAAAGTGAAGAAATGCTGAAGTAGAAGAAGTGAACAGTAGATTTGAAAGGACTGCTCGAGAAGATAAAGCAAAGTATAATGATGGAATGTGCAGAGAGCTTGAGTGGGAGAATAAAAAGGGGAGAACATGCTTAGCATTTCTCAAGGTGAAACAACAGAAAAACAAATTCAAGTCTCAGGCTGCAATACTGAGAAATGTGATGGGCAAAATCTTGAATGAAGCAGGATACATCAAAAGAAAATGCAAGGAATGCATAGAATCACTAAACCAAAAAGTAATAGCTGACACTGAAATATTTCAGGAAGTACCATATGATCAAGAGTCAATGGTGAAGAAGGAAGTTCAAGTTGCACTGAAGGCACTGACAAAAATAAAAGCCAGGAGCTGATGAGATATTAATTTATGTTTCAAATAATAGATATAGTCGGATGTGCTCACCAATCTATGTCAGGAAATTTGGAGTTCAATAGCCTGCCAAATCACTAGAAGAGATCTAGATTTCTTCTTATTCCCAAGAAAGGTGATCCAACAGAATGTGGGAATATTGAACAATATAATTCATATTACATGCAAATAAAATACTTCTGAACATTATTAAAAAATGGCTAGAAAAGCACATAGAGAACAATCAGAAGTTTAAGCTAGATTTTCAGAAGAGGCTGTGGCATCGAGGATGTCATTACTAATGTCAGATGGATCTTAGCTGAAAGCAAAGAATGCCGGAATAATGTCTTTTTGTGTTTTATTGATTATGCAAAATCATTTGTGTGGATCATAACAAACCCAAACTATGGCTAACACTGAGAAGAATGGGAATCTCAGAATGCTTAATTGTGCTCATGTGAAACCTGTAGCTAGACTATGAGGCTGTTATGCAAGCAGAGCAAGGGAACACTGTTGCTGCTGTTGTTGTTGTTGTTATGTGCCATCAATTTGCTTGTGACTTATGGAGACCTTATGTACAAGAGCCTTAATTGCTGCTCTATCCTGTGCTAACCTTTTTGTCTCTGACACACTTACCACTATTGCCCCTGTGACTGAATCAATCCATTGCATCGAGGATCTTCCTCTACTACGCTGTCCCTCCAAAATATGTCAGATGAAGCTTCAGGATCCTTGACTCCAGGGAGCAGTCTAGTTTCACCTTCTCCAACTTGAACCTGTTTGTTCTCCTATCAGTCCCTGGTATATCCAACACTCTTCTCCAGCAACACAGCTCCAAGGCATCAAATCTCTTTGTATCATTCCTAGGCTTTATCTGGCTCTCTGACACATACTGTGAAGATATGGCCTGGATCTGGCACACTTTAGTCTCCAGACTGTTATCATTACTCCTCAGTTCTTTAGAGAGGGCCCTGACAGCCAACTTTCCCAGTGCAATTCATGTCTTGATTTCTTGGCTGCTGGTCCAAGATTTGTTGCTTGTGTGGCCAAGTAAACTAAAATTGTTCTCCTACCTAACAATCTCAATCTTTTCATCATCCATAACGATGCTGCCAATTAATCCAGTGGTAAGAATCTTTGTTTTCTTGATATTGAGCTTCAATCCATATTGAAGACTGCAGTCCTTGACATTCTGCGGCAAGTGCTCCAGATCCTCCTTAGTTTCAGCAAGCAGCGTTGTGTTATCTACATAAAGTACGCACGAATATTCTTCTGATCCGGATGCCACATTCCTCCTCATCCAGCCCAGCCTCCCAGATGATCTGTTCTGCATATAGATTGAAAAGGTATGAAGACGGAATACAACCCTAAGCACACCCTTCCAGATTTTGAACCATGCAGTGTCTCCTTGCTCTGTTCTGATGACTGCCTCATGGTTCAAGTACAGGCTTCACATAAGCACAATCAAATGTTCTGGGATTCCCATTCCTCTCAGAGTCAGCCACAGTTTGTTGTGATCCACACAGTCAAATGCCTTTGCATAGTTAATGAAACACAGACATTCCTCTGGTACTCTCTGCTTTCAGCCAAGATCCATCTAATATTAGTTATGTTATACAATATCCCTAGTACCATGGTGTCTTCTAAACCCAGCCTGAACTTCTGGCAGTTTTCTGCTGACGTGCTACTCCAGTTGGTTTTTTTAAATAATTTTCAGCAGAATCTTGCTTGCATGTGATATTAATGATATTGTTCGATAATTCCCACACTTTGTCAGGTCACCTTTCCTTGGAATTGCAACTAATATAGATCTCTACATGAGTTAAAATTAAGAAAGGTGTGTGCATCAGAGTTGAATCATCTCTCCGTAGCTGTTCAATTGGTATGCTGCAAAAATTATTCCAAAAGCTGGACTTTTGAAGAAGCAAGTGCATCAGGATCAGATCAATAACCTATGTTACACAGACGATCTAACCTGTCTTGCTGCAAGTAAGGATGACTTGAAGTGTTTGTTCAGAAGATCAAAGACGACAGCCTACAATATGGATTTTATTTCAATTTCAAGAAAACATAAATTATCACCACTGAACTTACAGGCAATATTACAATAAATGGAGAAAAAACTGAAACTAACTCCTTACTTGGATCCACAATAAACACCCTTGTACCAGCAGTCAGAAGACATTACACTGGGAAAATCTGCTGTCAGGGGCCTGTCTAAATTATTGAGGAACTATGAGGGCAAAGGTGCTCCTGATTCAAGCTTGGTCTTTTCAGTCACTTGCTATGTATCTGAGAGCTGGACAATGAATAAGGATGACAGAAGAATTGCTGCTTTGAACTGTGACACTGGAAAAGAGTACTGCATATTTCATGGGCTGCCAAAAGAACAAACAGATATATCTTGGAAAAGGTGCAGCTAGAGTGGTCCTTGGACGTAAAGGTGATAAAGTGCATAGTGTTTCATGAGTTCTTTGTTTTTCACTGCTGCATAATATTCCATTGCATGAATATACCAGAGCTTCTCCATCCATTCATTTGTTGATGGACACTTGAGCTATTTCCAACTCTTTGCTATTGTGAACAAAACACTAATAAACTTGGGTGTGCATATATCTGCCTGGGTGGAAGTTCTGATTTCTTTAGAGTATATTCTCAGTAGTGGAATTGCTGATCAAATGGTATTTGTAGTTCCAACTTTTGGAGAAAGTGCCAAACTGCCTTCCATAGTGCTTGCAAGATTTTACACTCCCACCAACAGTGAATAAAAGTTACGACTTCTCCACATCCTCACCATCATTTGTTGTTTGCTGCTCTGTTAACTTTTGCTATTCTTACTGGGGTGAGAAGATACCTCATAGTTGTTTTGATTTGCATCTCTCTTAGAGCTAGAGATTTTGAACATTTCTTTATGTGTTTGTTCACCATCTGAATGCCTTCTTTGTTGAAGTGTCTGTTCATATTCTGTGTCCATTTTTCAATTGGCTTGTTTATCTTTACCTTGTTGTAGTAATTGAGTAGTCTATAAATTCTAAATATAAGTCCCTTAATAGACATGTCTTTACCAAATACTTTTTCCAAGTCTGATGTTTGACTTGTGTCCTAAAATGTGATCTATTCTGAAGAATATTCCGTGCACATTGGAGAAGAATGTATACTTTTGGGGGGTGCATTAGCCTACGCATATCTATGAGATCAAGTTGGTTTATTGTGTGGTTTAATTCTTTAGCGTCTTTCTTGAGTTTCCTTCTGGAAGTTCTATCTTTTCTTGGGACTGGTGTATTGAGTCTTCAACCACTATAATAGTGTTGTCTATTTTCCATTTCCACTTTTTTAAATGTTTGTTTTAATATAATTTACAGGTCTTTCATTTGGTGCATACATATTTATTAATGTTATGTCCTCTTGTTCTATTTACCCTTTGATGACTACATAGTGACCTTCCTTGTCCTTTGTGGTGGTTTTTGCTTTGAAATCTATTTATCAGGGATTAATATGGCTACAACTGCTTTTTGCTGGTTAATATTTGTTTTGGTATATTTTGTCTCCCACCCTTTAATTTTCAGTCTTCTTTATCTTCATTTTGTGGGTGTGACTTTTGTAGACAGCATATTGATAAATTTTTGTTTTTTTATCCAATTTGCTGCTTTTTTTCTTTTTTAGTGGTGCATTTAAACCATTTACATTCAGTGTGATAACTGAAAAGTAAGATTTGTTGCTATCATTTTGTTGAATTGTTTTTGGTTGTTGCCAATTACTTTATTGGACCATCCTGCTTTCTGTGGCACCTCTGCAAGAAGCATATATCTCAGTGTTTCCTGCATCGCAGGTCTTGTTTTTACAAACTCCCTAGCACATCAGCAGAGAACTGCC